TCATTAGTAGCTTGGGATACATAGCATACCTTCCAAGTTCCATCTGAATTTTTCATGTATGAAACTAAGAAGATGTCCACAGGAACAAGAGCAATAGTAAGCAATGTGATAGCCAGGGCCAGAATACCAGTTAGTGTGGACGACACTTCAGACTGCGCATGATCTTGATAAAAACGGATGTAGAACCATGAAAAAATAAATGTTAACTGTTGGTAGAAAACAAAACAAAAAACATATTAGATACAGGGATAAGTTGGCATCTTGAAGTTATAATTTGCCACTCCAGTAAGACAGACTAGGGCAATGTCATCAAGTTTCAGTACACAAAGGAATAACCACTGTATTTTCTTTAGTTAGGAGCAATTGTTTAGTTGTAGTGTATTTTATGGTCTTTTGTATCACTTCTTTTGTAATGGCAGACCAGAACCCAAATTTTGCCGGGATTTTGGCACTTCTGCTACACAAATAATAATAACAACAACCCTAACAAATCTTGTACACAGAATGGGCAACGCTGACTTAGTGTCAAGTAACTATCCAGTTTCCTGAGCTCAGAATCTTTAAACTTAGGTTTAGGCTTAAACCAGCTTCATGCCCAGCTTCAACTGCCAACTGGTGTCAACACTTAAGTTTATCGTACACGAAACCTCTTACTTCTAACCGTAACATATGACACAACAGTTGTAAACACGCTGGAAATTAAGTATTTAAAATTACTTGTTTTGCTTGCTACTGATGGAAAACCCATCAAGAGTTTTCAATATTAATAACGTATTTAACTCACCACCACAACGACTGTAAATGGTATCCAACCATATGCTAACACCTCCTGAGGGATGGCCATCCCTTATTCTTTCAGAATGATTTAATTAAATTAATATCAAAGAACCCTACGACGTATTCCGCGTGTTCAATTCCTTAGACCTCAACTCTTGCACAAAAACAAAACGAAACAGAAACCACTTGAAGTGTATCCTGGTGCATTGTGGGAGTCTCACGGCTGGGATCGCTCGTTTCCAGTGCTTTTATTGTCTCGGTTGGTCACGGCCAGGGTACGAGAGGAAAGAATTATAAGCAGAGAAGCTATCATATCATTGAAATTGTTTTGAACAAACGTAGCCATGCATATCTTGAATATTTCAACAACAAAAAAAAAAACAAAAAAAAACAGCAGTCAGTGGTCGAAAAGGCGTAGTCACTTTACTGACCCTCTATTTTCTACAAAATCATCGACCAATGGGGCGGTTAAAATAAACCCCGCGGGGAATAGAACGAGCGCAAATGTATGATAATGGGAGTAGACTAAAACAGCGGAAAGTTCGAGATAAAGTTCAGCGGCACTATTAGCCGAAAGCAGTTGACGCATAGTTCATCAGGTCAAAATACCGATGGCGAGACAAAACGATGTGTCGCCGGAGTGTACCAAAAAAGACACGATTCGCTATCCACCTTAATTTTGAGCATTTATTGGAAATCCGGTCCTATCAAGTCAGTGACTTGATATCACAGAATACGAGGAAAGTCACAGGTCTTACAAGACTTTTTATTGGCTAATTGTGGATTCGGGTATTGCAGTAAGGTAACAACTAATGGCAAACTAGACATCTGATTGGTTGAAAAGGTATAGACTACAGTTGATCGATAGAAGGAACTCAGAACGCACCTCTTTCTGCATTTTGGCTAAGCTGGTGCTCAATATTCTTTACTGCCGCCTCGTTGTACCAAAAGAAGAATTTAGTGCGTGAGAAATTAATTTGACGTGATTACTAGTGAGTAGTCTTTCAGTCGTCTCAATATTGTTTTCTTTGGCTTCGACAAAGTGAGCAATACTTAGGTTTAAACTAAACTGAATTAAATTTATTTACCTTAAATATTTTAACTGCTCAGACCTGAAGGGTGGTTTCTTGCTTTTTCCAAAAGGAACAACACTCCACTGAACCATTGAGGAACAGTAAACGAATTATGTAACAGAAGGTGCGTTTCCCGGGTTACGTTTATCCTTAATCTTGCAAGTCGTGTTTTTTCACACGCGGCTTGCAGAGTGGCGGAGCATTTCAACCTAATAACCTGGAAAGCTGGTGGCAGCACGGTTTGTTATGACCGTATCAATGAACACTGAAACAAAAAGAAAACAGTAAACGAAGCGTGAAACTGGACTCCATTGATTAATTTTTAACGCGATCAGGTACTGCTCTCATTATATCATTTTTGTTCAGCTTTGTTTGTTATGGACATCAATAAGTGATTCCAGCAGTTCGCGCCTTTTAAACATTTCCTTATTCTTTCTTTTTTTCGAAAAAGAAAGATGCGAAGGGGCTGGAAATTTGCTTTAGTGTTGGTATTAACAACTGTTCTTTGTCTCCAATGTAAGTATCCCACAAGCCACGTCTTGTAACAACACAAAAAGTAATTTGGTCAGTGTTCTAGCTTGTCAGGAGAAAGGAGGAGGAACTTGTTTTCACCTGTAAATTGCATTCCACATGAATCGACAAGTTGTGGGTGTTTTCGTTGTTAGTGGGCTGGTTATGCTGTTGGCTAAACATTGGAAAACCTTTTCATTTTACTTCGAGTGAATCAGAAGAAAGAGTTCAGCGGCATTAGCAATGTCTGTAAACTGATTAGCCGCTTCAGTCGGGAATGGTTACACAGAAATGTTCAGTACAGTACGCGTCCACGAAGAGTATTTAACACTGTCGCTTGAGAGACTGACTACTGCACGACGGCTAGTGTTGTATTAGTAGATACGTCCGTTCAATACTGTTACAATTTATATGGGATTAAAACTACTTAGGAAACGTGAATTGCTTCACTGCTCGAGTTAGTCGACATTAACTGAGACGATATAGTCTCTTATTTTTACATTTAAAGTACAAGAACAGTCGTAACAAGATAGAAAGCCCCTTACTAACTAACTCTTGTTTCCTTTTTCATCGAAGGCGCGAAGTCCAAAAAGACGAAAACGAAGTTACTTAGAAAGTTATGGAATATTGGACATCCAAAAGGTCGGTGACCTCCAACATTTTTTGTACGTACACCTCTTTTACGACTATGCGTAAAACCATAATATGATATGGAATTAATGTAATTCTATAACATTCTGTCTCTTTGTTTCACCTTACAAGCCGCTCATCAAAAAACTCTTACAGGACAGAAGAAAAACGCTGTACATCCGTCAATGGACCAAGTTGCTGGTACGAGACTTCTGTACCTGTGACAAACTTGAATTAATGTTTGACTAACTAGAGGATATAGAGGTTCATAAGAAAAAGTTTGTGTCATTTTCTGTGCTAATTTAAGGCCACTTTCTTTGGGATAACTGATTGCTTATTGTATTATCACAAGTTGAAGTCAACTTCGGCAAACAGTTGGGGACATGTTGCAGCGACAGTTTTCTTCGAGGGACAAATTGCGAAAAAGTTCTTTTGCGGTGACGAAATTTTTTCCCCCGCAACAGGTTTGAATTCCGGGGACATAATAACCGCAATTTTCAATGTAGCATCGTGTGCACCGCTCTTACAAACTGTCTCCGCTACAACAGAAATGAACCAATGTCCGCTTCGTGTGCACCAGCTTGCATTGCATTCTGTCCCTGCAACATACGTCCTAAGCGTACACATGAAGGGAGTTGTCCCTGGTTAGCGTCCCTGTAACATGTCCCGTAGTGGTTGCCGGCTTTTAGAGTCTCGTAATTATATCGCAGTTCTCATTTTACAGCAATGCAAAACCCAGAGAGTTTACAACCCAGTGAGGCAGAAGAGCTGAACCAACTTCAGAACTATAACAAGCAGTATATTAACAACGAAATGGCAGCCGAGACAGGTAGTCAATAAATTACAATCTAGAACACAATAACTTTTGCTGAAATTGTGGTTGTTTATTCCGGAAAATCTTGATCAGAAAGTAAATGGTAAGACAATTTTGGCTAGACCGACCGGGAAATTTTCGAAAAAAGCGGTACGCCTTGAAAGGTAGTCCAAAATTTCCAACCGAAATTTCCGAGTGGAAAATGTGCCTATCATTTGCAACTCTTCACTGCCATTTTTGAATTAGGATTAGGTTGAATTTCGAACTCGCCCGAACGCAACTTAAGGCCATTATGCAATTTTGCTTACTATTTGCACAAACCGTTGGCGAGCCGGTTTTTCCGTCTCCGTGTAAATGGTAAACAACTTTTGTCACAAAACCGACAGCCCTGCCTAGCCACCAGTAACGATGCACTCTCAAAGCCGTCATTTATTTCGTGTAATGGTAAAGGGACATGCCTAATAGCAAAACTCATTCTAATTCTAGAAATGTACAAGTGAACGCTCGCCGGTGCCGTGAACGACACTGCCTTAGGGTTCAGTTAAGCTGATAGTAGTATTTCAGTCGGTTTTTTATGTTGCAATCAACCCAGCACTTTAAACGACAAAGATACGGTATGACCGCTCGCACAGCTTTATTTTTGAACTCTCGTCGACGGGAAGGTGGCGATCTTTGCCTTCAGATTTCTACGCCTATGGCCTTTAATTAATTATACGACAAAAATAAATTTAAGGTGACCCATCCCTCACGTATGTAACATGCTACATGGTTATAAACCAAAACCTCATTTATTTCTCTTTTTCCTGTTTTTGAGCTCTGCTGGCAGACCAAGGGATTGATGACGATTCAGCCTTAAAAATCTCAAACATGGCTGCTTTACCCAATGGAATGCCACCAGGAGCGAATCCTGCTATCAAAGCCAAAATCAGTAGTAGCAGTGCTGCTCATGCTCCAAAGGAGACGTCCACTGACCCCTCGCAGGCTTCACCTGGCGGCTACGATCCCAATGCGTACTTGTATGACGCAAACTCGTGGCCAGAGTACACCATCCATGATTCCGACTACAGCAACTTCCGGTCTGTCGAGATGAACAACATGAATGGCGAAAATACTGATATGCCAAATTATGAAAAGATTAATGGCAGACGTCCGGCCATGCCGGGTTATCAGAGTATGGAGAACGAGGGGGAAGAGGAATTTCAGGGACCGAAGTTCTCGCATGAAAAATCAGATTCTACTCAGTTCAACGACGAAGTCAAACAAGAAC